TAATTAGTGGTAACACAAATTAGATTACCCGACAAAGGTTCCCATTTGGCATTTCTTGTGTCTGGAGTAAATATTCAACATTATAAACATCGATCAAAGGATTAACCGATAACACGCTGATTGATTAATTACTTTTATCTTACACAGCGGAATTGTCAAAAGGTAGTGTTTATGTATGTAGATTTACTAATCTATACTGAATACACTCTGTCGTGTCGGTGTCTGCGTAAAAACAACGTCCTTCTTTCAAAGGATTAACCGGCAATACATTGATTGATTGCCCATTATTGGCTAACTAAATTACTGTTTTTAAAGAAAGGCGGACATTATGCAATTAGTTGCCAGGTGTGCTATCTTGGGTGACCAATGAGACTATACACCAATACCTGAAAAGATTTATCACTTTTTCGTATATTAAACTGTTAAAAGACACATCATTTGGAACAGTTTTGTGGATATTGATGGATACATTCCTCGAACAAGGTAATGGCCTGATATTGTTCCTATAACTTTAATCTGTTTTAATTTTAATATTTGCATTTTGTTTTGATTCATTTGTCGTAGCATTCAACAGAATCATTGTTTTCGCCGTGAAGTGTAATGAGACAGACAACATGCACTAGGGTGTGTGTGCGAATTATGATTCACATTGGCAAACTATAACATGTCTAGATATTACAGTTCTGTTATAAATTCACTATAAGTATCAGCAGATCGTCTGCTTTTTATTTAGTTTCAAAATGCATACAAGTATGATAATAAACTAATTAGGATTATAAGACCAAATATACAGACGCACATTGACTAGTATCTACATACTGGTGATGGACATTAACCATGGGAATGTAGAAGGAATTTGTCGCGCAGTATTGTGACTTCGACCCCCACCTCGCTTCCCGTGGAAGAAATCGTTATGTTATAAGTTGTGTCATGCAAAATCCGTTTGGTTATGATTCCAATACATATTTAACTACAGAGTAGAAAGTAGTCTTGATTTTCCTAGCAGTGAAAACAAACTATAATCTCATTAATTCTAACAGATTTTTTTATTTTAAAATGGCGGCGCCCTGTCGGGAACATCCGCCAGTCTGAGGGATAAATGGTATTTAGGTTTGTTTTCACCGAGTTAAAAATCAAAACTACTTTCTACTGGTAATAAAATATGTATTTTATTGATGGCCAATGGGATTTTTGCATGACACTAACAATATTACATAACAATTTCTCTCGTGGCAGCGAGGTGGAATGATAATATAATACTACTTACAATATTATTGTTACTTCGACCACAAACTCACTTCCGAGGAAGAAATCGTTATGTTACAAGTTGTGTCATAGAAATTTTTATGGTCATCAATCATATGCATATTTTACTAGAATTAGTAGTAAGTAGTTTTGATTCTTTAACTTCCGTGAAGCGATCTGAACACAAGTAAGATATCGTTTCAGGCTTCCACAACAACGCTCGCTTCGCACTCACAAACATAACCCATTTAGCACGAACTGGGGTCCTGTGGAAATCTGTGCATGGGGACACCATCGCCCGACCCTAGGAGCAATTGACGACAAAGCAACGATTCGGCATGTCGTCGTTGATCGAGAAATCATCAAAATGATGAGCGTGCTACACACTTTCTATACAACTAACTGAAAATCGTTCCTCATATGACGTCACTGCAGTGCTCTGGCGACAGAGTTACGTAACCTGTCTGTGGTTTCGTTGGCGGGCGAGAGGGAGGCAGGCGACTTTTTGGCCACTTTTAATCGCTCGGTATTAATTAACCACAAGTTTTTAAAGAATAAATTTGGTGTTCCGCATAAGACTAACCACAAATCTTTCATATGTAATGGTTAAAAGAGTAACAAAAAACAAAGTTTAGTGGTTCTTTAACACTACTACCTGAAGAGAGAGTGTAAGAGTGTATGTTAAAGTAAGATACTCTCTCTCTCTCTCCAGGTAGTAATGTATGTTAAAGTAAGACACTGTGTCTGTTAAGGTAGTAGTGTCTGTTAAAGTAAGACACTGTCTCCGTTCAGGTAGGAATGTCTGTTACTGTAAGATACTCTCTCTTCTCTTCAGGTAGTGAGCCGTGAAGATTCGGTGTAGAATAGGTCTTCAGCAACCCATGCTTGCCACAAAAGGCGACTATTTGTGGTAAGAGGCGACTAACGGGATCGGGTGTTCAGGCTCGCTGACTTGGTTGACACATGTCATCGGTTCCCAAATGCGCAGATCGATGCTCATGTTCTTGATCACAGGATTGTCTGATCCAGACTCGATTATTTACAGACTGCCGCCATATAGCTGAAATATTGCTGAGTGCGGCGTAAAACTGAACTCACTCACTCACTCACTCTTCAGGTAGTAGTGTATGCCAAAGTAAGACACTGTGTCTGTTAAGGTAGTAGTGTCTGTTAAAGTATGACACTGTGTCTGTTAAGGTAGTAGTGTCTGTTAAAGTAAGACACTGTCTCTGTTCAGGTAGTAGTGTCTGTTAAATTAACACACTGTCTCCGTTCATGTAGGAGTGTCTGTTAATGTAAGATACTCTCTCTCTCTCTTCAGGTAGTAGTGTATGTTAAAGTAAGACACAGTGTCTGTTAAAGTAAGACACTCTGTCACTTCGGGCGGTAAGGTAGCCTTGTGGTTAAAGCGTTCGCTCGTCACGCCAAAAATCAGGGCTCGATTCCCCATATGGGTACAATGTGTGAAGCCCATTTTATGGTGTCCCCCGTCATGATATTGCCTGAATATTGCTAAAAGCAGCGTAAAACCAAACTCACTCATTCACTCACTTTATCAACTTCTTTCAGTAATGATTTAATTGGTAGTAACTTTGACCTGATCGAGAACAGATAGGTAGTAGTGTCTGTTAAAGTAAGACACTGTTTCTGTTCAGGGTCGCTGTGTCTGCTGTTAGCCATTGTATTTCGGTAAATTAGGAAAATCAATTGTTGAAAAGCAAACAAAACATACATGGTATATTCTAGTTTGTTATTATAAGAAGAAGAAAGTTTTAAAAAAGTTAGGAACACTCTGCTTCACAAACTTGACGCTCAAAACTCTTTCTCCTGTTAACTAGGTAAACATATACTTCGTATGCAAATTTACATTGATTGCATCATGAAACATGTCGAAATAGTTGGTCAAATTAATCTTTTCCTTTTTACTTGAATAACAATTATAACCGATGACCTTTCCTTGTAAGCAATAGAAGTAATATTGTTTTACCTGGTCATCCAGCCATATTACCACCTCATTCGTTGTGGTTGTCTTCCTGAACAGTCTTATGGTCGAACTCCCAGAATCGCCTTGATTATGAGTTTAGATTTGTCAGCACAAAAAATGCAATCAACGAACTGCTTTACTGTGGATGTTACAAACATATAATACTAACGGTGAAAAATACAGCTCAAACGCTGACCTGAACTCAACTCGTTCCTTCACCCTGACTACCGAGACAAGGTCCCCAAAGAAACGGGAGTAATTATCTGTTCTCGATCAGGTCAAAGTTACGACCAATTAAATCCTTATTACTGAAAGGAGTTGATAAAGTGAGTGGGTGAGTGAGTGAGTATGGTTTTACGCCGCTTTTAGCAACACTCAACCAACATCACGGCGGCGGCGGGCACCAGAAATTGGCTTTACAGAAGCTGATAAAGAAACGACTAACGGGATCGGGTGGTCAGACTGGCTGACTTAGTTGACACATGTCATCGTATCCCAACTGCGTAGATTGATGGGCATGATGTTGATCACTAGATTGTCTGATCCAGATTCGATTAATTACAGACCGCCGCCATATGGCTGGAATGTTGCTAAGTGCGGAGTAAAACAACAGACAAACAAAAGATAAGGAAACAAAACACAAACAGTTCAACATTTGTATTGTGTATCAATGCCCATTGCCTCCCAATAGTATCATGTTAAGAAGGTCACCTTTAGCGCACCTCGGACATAACGATCTTTCTATCTGACATATTGCTGCTCTCACCAAGGCTGATGATATAACACTCATCGGCGCTGCGATTCCAGTTTGGAATTATATAGATCAACACAATTTACTCACGTCCCTATTACATCCGAGGTCCATTAATTTCTGTCCATCAAACACAGACCACAAGTTTAAGTCCGTGGTTGTCATTGCAGAAACCGTCTCCTTCCTCACATGTCAGTATTCATGAGCAATGTAAGCAGAAATCTAAACGTTGCTTTTTGATACAACTAGGGATTATAATGTTAAAACGTGTTTCAATAGATATTTCTTTCTAGAACATGGCACAGAGATCACACATTGGATAATGTAGTGTCAGCCGGAATTCATTACCGGGTGTTGTTGTCATTTCCTTCTCGTCTGTGAACCTTAAAGACCATCCAGCATATTTTTGTCCATCAAGTTCAGTGCATATTTGGCACATGTCTACCACCCCCTGTCCTCTGTAGGCGACCAGCCACTTCCTCTCCACTGGTTGAAGGTCATATCCACTGGGCCTATTCTCTCCAACAAGCACAATCACGCCATCCAACACGATATATAGTCTTACAGGAAGATCAGGTATGCTGTAACAGCTTCGTCTTCGTTACTACATCATCCAGAACCAAGCGATATCCCACATTCTCATCTTAGCAAGAACTTCGCTCGCCCCTGGCCCGGTCGGTCAAGCCCTTAGCTGATCTCAATGTAATGCTTACTGCTTTTGAAGTCGCCAACCGGTCCGTTGGGTGAGCTATTTTCTTTTCATGGAATATATGAGTTCTATGGTTGATCAGCGTTGTACAAAAGATGGTCTAGATGTTGGACAGGTAAAATATGGGATGTCCCATATAATGACCTGTCGATCGGTGTATATAATGTGCCAACACGTCACACCTAGAGAGTTAGGGATCCACCTGTGCTGCGATCACTGGAATTCTATTTGGATTTGTATGACTGCGAGGCAAGAGCACCAGTGTGCGTGTGTGGCATAATTGCTAACTGTAAATATTGTTTTTAAGAGGACCAAAATGGTGACGAAGATGCCATGGATCCTTTCGACAATGCTGGCTTCAATCTCCACTATTCTGACGTTCGTCACTATGTTTATCACTATCAACCTGTCAAGAATATTTCCACCTCTACGAAGACAATTTCGGGAAACTTGGAAACCTATCCTTGAGGGATCATCTGTTGAGGAAGGAGAATTATTTGATAGCTTAGTCTGTCTGGGAACCTGGAAATATATCCTGACTGGGATGTGGAACCGCCGATTTCCGGAGCATTAAAAGAATGACAAAGCGTGTAACCCTTTCGTCTGGTCAGCAGACGGCAAAACCAAACATCGTCTACTGGACTTCATGAAGAAGGGTCGCCCTCTGGTTCTCAACTTTGGAAGCTGCAGCTGACCTCCCTTTATGGCCAAACTGGCCAAGTTCAACGACATTGTTCAAAAGTATGGACATATCGCTGACTTTCTTCTTATATACATAAAGGAAGCTCACCCAACAGACGGGTGGCATTTCAAAAGCAATGCTTATTACATTGAATCAGCTAAGAACATGACCGACCGGGCCAGGGCGGCAAAGTTCTTGCTAGATGAGAATGTGAGATGTCCTTTGGTTCTGGATGATGTAACAGACGAGGCTGTTACAGCATACCGCAGTCTTCCTGAAAGACTATATATCGTGTTGGATGGCGTGATTGTGCTTGTTGGAGGAATAGGCCCAGAGGAATATGACCTTCAACCAGTGGAGGAGTGGCTGGTCGCCTACAGAGGACAGGGGTAGACATGTGCCAAATATGCCTGAACTTGATGGACAAAAATATGCTGGATGGTCTTTAAGGTTCACAGACGAGAAGGAAATGACAACACCCGGTAATGAATTCCGGCTGACACTACATTATCCAATGTGTGATCTCTGTGCCATGTTCTAGAAAGAAATATCTATTGAAACACGTTTTAACATTATAATCCTAGTTGTATCAAAAGCAACGTTTAGATTTCTGCTTTACATTGCTCATGAATACTGACATGTGAGAAGGAGACGGTTTCTGCAATGACAACACGGACTTAAACTTGTGGTCTGTGTTTGATGGACAGAAATTTATGGACCTCGGATGTAATAGGGACGTGACTAAATTGTGTTGATCTATATAATTCCAAACTGGAATCGCAACCCGATGAGTGTTATATCATCAGCGTTGGTGAGAGCAGCAATATGTTAGATAGAAAGATCGTTATGTCCGAGGTGCGCTAAAGGTGACCTTCTTAAAATGATACTATTGGGAGGCAATGGGCATTGATACACAATACAAATGTTGAACTGTTTGTGTTTTGTTTCCTTATCTTTTGTTTGTCTGTTGTTTTACTCCGCACTTAGCAACATTCCAGCCATATGGCGGCGGTCTGTAATTAATCGAATCTGGATCAGACAATCTAGTGATCAACATCATGCCCATCAATCTACGCAGTTGGGATACGATGACATGTGTCAACTAAGTCAGCCAGTCTGACCACCCGATCCCGTTAGTCGTTTCTTTATCAGCTTCTGTAAAGCCAATTTCTGGTGCCCGCCGCCGCCGCCGCCGCCGTGATGTTGGTTGAGTGTTGCTAAAAGCGGCGTAAAACCATACTCACTCACTCACTCACTCACTTTATCAACTCCTTTCAGTAATAAGGATTTAATTGGTCGTAACTTTGACCTGATCGAGAACAGATAATTACTCCTGTTTCTTTGGGGACCTCGTCTCGGTAGTCAGGGTGAAGGAACGAGTTGAGTTCAGGTCAGCGTTTGAGCTGTATTTTCACCGTTAGTATTATATGTTTGTAACATCCACAGTAAAGCAGTTCGTGGATATTGCATTTTGTGCTGACAAATCTAAACTCATAATCAGGGCGATTCTGGGATTCGACCATAAGACTGTTTCAGGAAGACAACACAACGAATGAGGTGGTAATATAGCTGGATGACCAGGTAAAACAATATTACTTATTGCTTACAAGGAAAGGTCATCGGTTATAATTGTTATTCAAGTAAAAGGAAAAGATTAATTTGACCAACTATTTCGACATGTTTCATGATGCAATCAATGTAAATTTGCATACGAAGTATATGTTTACCTAGTTAACAGGAGAAGGATTTTGAGCGTCAAGTTTGTGAAGCAGAGTGTTCCTAACTTTTAAACACCTTTCTTCTTCTTATAATAACAAACTAGAATATACCATGTATGTTTTGTTTGCTTTTCAACAATTGATTTTCCTAATTTCCGAAATACAATGGCTTCTTTTAACAGACACAGCGACCTGAACAGAAAGAGTGTCTTACTTTAACAGACACTACTACCTATCTGTTCTCGATCAGGTCAAAGTTACTACCAATTAAATCATTACTGAAAGAAGTTGATAAAGTGAGTGAATGAGTGAGTTTGGTTTTACGCCGCTTTTAGCAATATTCAGGCAATATCATGACGGGGGACACCATAAAATGGGCTTCACACATTGTACCCATATGGGGAATCGAGCCCTGATTTTTGGCGTGACGAGCGAACGCTTTAACCACAAGGCTACCTTACCGCCCGAAGTGACAGCGTGTCTTACTTTAACAAACACAGTGTCTTACTTTAACATACACTACTACCTGAAGAGAGAGAGAGAGAGAGAGAGAGAGAGAGAGAGAGAGAGAGAGAGAGAGAGAGAGAGAGAGAGAGAGAGAGAGAGAGAGAGAGAGAGAGAGAGAGAGAGAGAGAGGGAGTATCTTACATTAACAGACACTCCTACATGAACGGAGACAGTGTGTTAATTTAACAGACACTTCTACCTGAACAGAGACAGTGTCTTACTTTAACAGACACTACTACCTTAACAGACACAGTGTCATACTTTAACAGACACTACTACCTTAACAGACACAGTGTCTTACTTTGGCATACACTACTACCTGAAGAGTGAGTGAGTGAGTGAGTTCAGTTTTACGCCGCACTCAGCAATATTTCAGCTATATGGCGGCAAGTGGAGTCAAGGCACACTGCAGCTTGATATGTGAAGTCAAGTCCCTACATGCTTGTGAACCAAACATGGACTATCAACCATCAAGGCAAAGATTAACAAATTCAAATCAAGATAAACTTCCACTTCATGAACAGGTGAATGAAATCTGTGAAGAAAGTTTGCTTATCATCCGCAAACAATTCCAAGCTACAAGACACAAAGCTACGGAAGTTGTTACTTTTGTGGCAGGTGACTTAGACAGGATGTGGTCCAAAGATCAAGTACATGGTGTACCCATTGGCTATTTCCTTCGAGGATACAGTCTACCAATCTGTGTCGTTGGAAATATTCTTGAAGAGTTTCTCCAGTATTGCCACAGACAAGGCATTCATATACCTGTTTCTTGCTTTGATGGACAGTTCATGAAACTTGTTCAGACTTGGAATGGACATCCACAGACCATCTTGGAGCTTCAAAAGCAGTTCTGGAACACGGTATGTAAACTCCCAAAGTCAAGGATCATAGGGGAATTCAAGACATGTAATCAAGCAGACACATCTGTTGGGAGCAATCCAACCACAAACAGAAGTGATACACAGAGAGACATCCTTAGCAGTTACTCTGTAAATATACCCCGAACAGCACAGAAGTTTCTCAGCCACAAAGAAATTTGTGACAAGGATAAGATGGGGAAATCAGCATCGAAAGAGAGTCTGGATATTGCCCAAGATTTAGAAGATATTCCACTTGAATTGCTTAGCATCAATGTGTCTACAAATAACCAACTGCTTGATTTACAGAAGTCAACATCACAACACAACAATGAACATAATGCTGGTCAAACTGCTTCTCTTCTCTCAACAAATGAGTCAGAGGCAAAGCCTGCCTTGGTTCTGTCAAATGAAGACTTTAAAGAACTGAAAGATGACCTCTCAAAAATCAATGATAAATGGCGCTCAAGGTCGGTTGAATACTTGAAAGGATATTTTGTCAGTTGCTGTGAAATGTCAAAAATGAATGCCAAAGAGCTCAGTTCAATCCTCAAGTTCTTGCGTGATAGGAAGCTGCTGAAAGTGAGGATATCAGGATCTAAGCAAAAGATTTTGGAAGAATTAAAGTCGCTGCTTCATATATGTGGAGATGTACCATCCCAGAAATTCCGAAGGAGGTCTCCTGCAAAATTGAAATGCCTTTCCTTAAAATGTCTGCAGCAAAAGTCATATCCTAAAATGGCCCTTAATGTATCCTATGCTAATTGGAAATTTGGCGAGATACTGGACAATTGGCGTCGAGGAGCCAAAATAAAGCACAACATGGTAGTGCTAGGTTTATCAAACCAGTTGAATGGTTCTACATACCGGAATGGCATTCTGATAGAAACCAACTGGAAACCAAGAAGATAGATTCACATCACCTCCTCACCAGACATCGATCAGCTTTGTGCAAGGGCAATCTTGGATCAGCAAAGAGATCGGAATTTGTCACAGTTGCGGAACAGGGAAATACACAGCTGAAGCTGGGAATGATTGAGGATCGCATAAACATGCAGAGCACTGACTTTTCTTTGATAACTTTCTCTGTTGAAGTGGAGAATGAACTGAGAGCCATGAAAGCTAACAAGTCTGCAGAAATGTGCAAAATGGTGAGTTAAACATGTATGTGGTTTTTAAATTGTTTTAAATATTCAAGGAGGAATACTTTTCCCATATATTACCTACTTTAACTATCAATCAACTATGCTTCTTCAGTACCGTTCTGGGAAAACTTATTGCTCTACAAGACCAAGTCCACTTTGCTACCACTAAAATGGTTCTGCAGAACCATAATAAAGTAGCCAACAAGAAATTCTTATTGTATAAATTTAATTCCTTAAATTAAACAAAACCCTCAAAATTGCAAAAGTAATAAGATTTTGGTCTGTCAAATGGGTCTGATGTCATACACTGATATGTGTACTCAATTTAGATTTTAGCACAAGACCAAACTCTGATAATTGGTACTGTTCTGTTCATCACAAATTGTATCATTATTATCCATAAATGATATCATTTCAGATTCGTGACTGGTTCGAAGCTTGTGATCAACGAGGAATTCCAGCCCTTGGAAGATGCTGGAAATATGTGGAGGTAATACTTTCTTGACCATAGTAAATTGTTATTAACATCACTTGCAATCATTAAATGATTATGATCAAGTGCTAAATTTGGTCCTGGCCCTTGCTGATTTAGCACAAAAAAAACAGAATTCTACTACTACTGGAAAGTTAGTTAACAATGATCACACTTTCCTAATGCTTACATCTGTAAATGAGAATATAATTTCTTTCATTTAAGATACAGAGAAAAGCTGTTGTCCTTTGTGGATCTGCAGAGGTTTCCTCCCTCCGGAATGCAAATAAAGGGATATCCAAAGCAATTATGGGAAGCAACAATTGCAAGTATTGGCGTGGATCTGCAGCTTTATAGTCTGACCAAACGCCGAACCTACAATCAACGTGCAGTCAGCAGTCAGAATTGTGAAGCAATTTACTCCTCACTGGCCGCTCTTCCTGGTTCAAACAATGGAGTACCTACCTGTATTGGTCTGGAAACAAACATGGCAAAGTTGTGTGGGGAGAGTCTTGTGAGGCTAGACCCCGACAGGTAATTGATCGTCTCACCTAATTTGTACATGTGAAAAAAAGGGCATAAATGTTAAATCGAATCAGTGGCGCTTCACCCTTTAAACTCCAACTTTAGCATTTTAACCCTTTAATTATTGAAATAATTATTTTCATAACGTTCTATGTGGCTGATGTTCAGGAATCACAACTATATAACAAATGGA